AAATTTTTGTACGTGTACTAGTTGGAACTACACTAGTTATTTCCATAGATGTATTTAATAATTTAGTTTTTTCATCTTGCTTTGCAATATTATATTCACACTGTGAGAGTTTAATACTATTCTCTGGATTATTAAGATCAGTTGCATCTTTTGTACAAATTTTCGTATGTGTATTAGCTGGAATTACACTAGTCATTTCCATAGATGTATTTAATAATTTAGTTTTTCCATCTTGTTTTGCAATATTATATTCACACTGTGATAGTTTAATACTGTTCTTTGAATTATCAAGATCAGTTGCATCCTTTGTATTAATTTTTGTATGTGTATTAGCTGAAACTACACTAGTTATTTCCATAGATGTATTTAATAATTTAGTTTTTTCATTTTGTCTTGCAATATTACATTTGCAAACAGTTTTTGTGATATCCTTTGGTACATCATTAAAAAAAGTTGTTTTATTATCATTATCATTGCTTGAAGGACAATAATTACTATTTGACTGTAAATTACACATAGATATTGCTGTAGTCATTTCCATTGAAACATTATCAAGGTTTTTAGTTCTTTCATTTTCACATGTAGTCATCTTTGCATCATTAATATTATCATTAATGACAGATAATAAGGGTACAGTTAATTCCATTGAGGTGTTTTGTGTATTTACTGATGGTAAAATAATTTGTATCAATTCCATTGATATATTTTCAGGTGTATCTTTAGTATAGTTTACATCAGAGCATACGTTATTGCAAATAACTTTAGTTAAATCTGTACATGTATCCGTAACAGATTTAGTATTTAAATCATTATGATCTGACAATTTTGACATTTTTTCATTTAATTTTCTATTACAATCTTCATACATAGTAGTACTTTTTGATATGTGATTATTTTCTAATTGCAAATTAGTCAATGAAATAGATTTATTTTCTTGAACAACAGCATCGTGAAATATAATTAATGGTTCAGTCATTAACATTTCATCTTGACAATTTACATTTTTAACTATATTTACAACACGTGAACTAGCTTCTTTAATATTAACATTTTCTTCCATTACTTTGTTATAAACAAATTGTGCATCATTTTCATGATTATCAAAAATATTTTCTTTAAATATACTTTCAATCTCACATTCTTTTTGATTAGAAGAACAAGGTATTTTAAGATTGCTTAAATCATTCTCTTCATATGTGTTGTCCCATACAGTTCCTTGCTCCAAAGAATTGCAAAATTCTCTGTACAATGTATTTTATATCATGAATTAATGGACAAACTATTAAAAAGTTATTAAATTTATTAAAAACAAATTATAAGAAATAATTAACTCACTTGACATGTTTTTTTTCTGCAAAACTAACACGTCTTTTAATTTTTGTTGTAGCAGTAGGGCTATTTTCATTGGATGAACTATTAAAATTTAAGTTCTGCAGAGGTTGGCGTGGTTTTGGAAGCTTAAGTATCTGAGTATATGTGTAACAGTATTAAAAAAAGTTCTGAGGAACAAGTTAAACTTATTAAATTTAACCATACTAAATTAAATTGATTTAGTTAACTCAACTTGATAAACAATTCAAGTCACAGTACACAAAAAATAAAGATATATAACAAAAATATATTACAGAATCAAAGCTAATATCACTATGTTCTGCAAATATTTTTTTAAAATATTAATATACTTACAGAAGATCGTCTTGAATTGTTTGTAGTAGATTTGGAAGGAATCCTACAAAAAAAATATTTCAAAAATGTCATAAAAAATGTTTTCATTCATAAGTTACAATTTATGTAAATAATTGTAAACAGTTAAAAAATTGCGAAGTGAAGTTAAATAAATTTTCAACTCTGAATAATACAAAAGTGAACAAACAATTGAAAAATCGGAATATACTACAAGGTTATAATATATTAACATTATTTTACAACAGCCAATGTTTATGATTTATCAATTTTCTCACGGAAAACAAACACTAAAATATTTCAATAAAACAGGTCTAATAAAATAAGTGAAATAATGCTCACATTGCATTGCATCTAAATTTTGTTCAATTCAAATTCAATCTCAGAAATTTCGAAAGCGTCGATTCTCTGGTAAAGGTTTGCTAAATTCCATTGGCGCCAAACTGTAACTACGATGCAGTTTTCATGAACTTTCACACGTTACGATATTACCATAAACCAACATGATACGAACTTGAGAATCAGCTCTTATCGAAATATAAATAAATTGTAATCTACGGCCAATGATAAATCGCCAAATACGCGATTCCATTTAGTGACGCTTACAAAAATATATCTACGATTAAATGTCCGTTTGAGTTACGAAGTCGTAATATAACAGCTATGAATGAATACCAAGTAAACAGTGACGGGGATTTTTTATAAATCTACAGATTGATTTGATGAAAGAAGAAGGAAAAAAAGAAAAAGAGACAACGCTACGTATAAAAGTCTTTCTAACGCAAATATATCAATCTGCCTCGGTAACATTATTAATTAATTTCGCTGAGTGGCTGAGAGTGAGAACAGCTGATCAAAGGAGACACAAGACCAAAATTATATTAACGATGGAAAGAGTCATGGTCAAAATAATAATAAAAGCACCGAATCAGCAGATTAAAGATCAAATAATAAATTGCAATATTGGGTGGACCATTAGCCAACTGAAAGAACATTTGTCCGATGTTTATCCCAATAAACCAGTGAGTTTTGCTTCAGTTTGCTTTTGTTTAGTGAATCTCGTCGTGTAAAATTTTGTGAAAGTTGTATTCGATGAGAGTAATATATCATTAATGTTTCGAGAGATGCAAAATAATTGTAAACATTTTCGTTGTTTTGAGTGTATTATTTACTGGAGATAATATGTTGATATTTTTACAATTGTAAGGATTACAATTTAATTGTCAGTAGTAAAATAACTTTATTTCTCTTACTTGTTTGTAACAATTGATTTTTAATTGAGTCAATTGCGAATAGCAAGAGTATTGTGTATGAAACAATATGCTAATAGATTTTCTTATTTATTTTTAGGAGCGAGCAAGCCAGAAACTTATATATTCAGGACAATTATTAAATGATTCCACATGTTTAAAAGATGTTTTGAGACATTGCAATGGACAAGAGGATCAAGCTTATATAATTCACTTGGTCTGTACTTCACAAAAGATATTGACAAATAAAATGACTGACCAAGTTGTAGAAAACACAAATATAATTTCTGCTGTAAGAAGTACAGAACATATGAGATTAAATAATACGAATAATATACAAAATCAAAGTCAACATAACAACAACAACAACAACAATAATGTTGCTATGCAACACACTTCTGCACAATCGTACTCTACACAATATTTTGATCCGCGGAATAGTCAACAAATGGCTTGGATGCAACAAGCATATAACCATTATTTTACACAATATATGCAACTGTAAGCAGTATTTTTGTAAGTTTTATTTTAGTTTTGAAAGTTATATAACTTACAGTGAAAAGAAATATTTTATTACAGAATAGCAGCACAAGGAATACAATTACAAACTAGCATTCCATATGTCCAACAAATGAATGTCAATACAAATAATAGTGCTCAAAATCCATATACAAATAACACAAATAACAATAATAATAATAATAACAACAACAACAACAACAACAACAACAATATGGGTGACGAGCAACAACAACCTGGTGCTCAAGAAGGTGATGTTAATGGAGGAAATAATGGTGCTGGAGAAGATGGTGCATTTAACAGAGATTGGCTAGATGTCTTTTATATGCTGTCTAGAATAATCGTTCTTTTCAGTATAGTATATTTTTATTCATCTCCTCTAAGATTTCTGATTGTTACGTTTCTTGGCTTTGCAATGTATCTGTAAGTTAATACATATAAATATCATACATGCATGTCTCATATACAAATATATATAATCGAATGAGTACTTCACAGATATCAAGGTGGTTTTTTCCGAGTACAACCTATTCTATTAGCTGAAAATAATAACGGCAGAGGAGATCGGATGGATAACAATAATCAAATATTACAAAATGAAGCAATAGGTCCTCAAGCTGTACCACAGCAACAAAATGGTCAAATTCCAACAGTACAAACAGAGGCAAGAACAAATGCAAATGAAGAACATGAAGAGGAAAGACCTGGTGCACTTGCTTTTACCTGGACATTTTTCAGTACATTTTTTGCTTCGCTTATTCCAGATCAACCAAATGTTATTTAATTTTAAGGAATGTCAATTTGTTATAAAGCTAATTTTCTTCCTTTAAGAAAATATTTTTAAAACAAAACATGAAAATTTAATGAGGTGGTCTCTTTTTGCATACATACTTAATAAATCTTGATATCAAAAGAAATGTTATTAAAAATTCTAAAAATTTTTAAGAAAACTCAAAGAAATTTTACAAAGTTTGCAGATATACAAGAATTTTTCAGATAAGATTCTTGTATACAATAGTAGATATACATATTAAATATACGCTTAAAATAAATAGCATTTTTATAAATATTGCTATTCATATACATCTAATAATTTTTTGTATTTAATTCATTGAGATTACCTCAGGATAAATTAAATTTATAATCACTGATCATTTTATAGAAAATGATTTTATAAGTTAAATTTAAATTTATTAATTTAAAAACATCATCCCAAAGTATTTAGAATTTTTGTTTTATAATAAATTTCATGTTTTTCTAGTTCTATAAAGGTACAACGAGAAAAGTATATACTGTATATATAAATAAAATTAACGTAATGTAGAGCTTATAAGGTGTTGATAAATATAAATATTAAGAAATATAATAAGATATAAAGCTTACCGATTTTTGTTCAAAAAAATTATTGAAGTAACAATCTTGTTACTTCAATAATCAAATGATTTTTTGCGAATTTTGTTATGAGTGAATTTAAAAAATTCACTTTTTAAGATTTATTATTTATGTATTTAAACTCTGTTTTTTCCCCAGATATATATATATTTATATATGATTTGTAAACAATACATTAAACAAAGATATTCTTAATAAATTGTAGAACTTCTGTAATTTCTTAATTAACAGATAATAAAATGTTATTAATAAATTAAAAATATAATTTAATAAAATAAAAAATAGAGAAAGCTTATCGCAATTAAAAAACATTCTTATAATTTCTATAGTTTAATTAGATAATTAATTAATATTTAATTAATTATATTTATAGTTTAATTAATTAGATAATTAATATTATATAAACAACAATAATGTATGATAGTTAATATGTGTATATGTAGTTGAGGGGTGTGTGTGTGTGTGTAGTAGTAGTAGTAGTAGTAGTAGTGTAATGTAATACACACACGCGCATATATATATATACATATGCGCGCGCGTGTGTGTATGTATAAATGCTCTTCCTTCGAGAAGATAGATCGTGTTATATTAATTTTCTTTAGGTTATACATATTGTAGATCAGTTATGTAGAAGTTTTTTTGTATTTATACATATTTCTAAGGCATTAACAATTTAAATATTTGCATTGAAGAAAAAGACAGATATCGTAATTAAAAGATTATTTTTATTTAAAAAATAAGATAGAATTGTCAGATATAGAAATATCTATAATAAGAAGACTCCAACATGTACTATAACCTTATTTATACATTTCAAGGTCTGCATTTATTTTAAACACATGCATTACAGCTGGAACATTAATATTTAAGTACGTAATTTCTTGAAATTGAAACACTTTTTATAACTAAATTACATAAAAAAGAAACTTAATAGTTCTTAATAATTAATAGTCAATTATATTGTCAAAAAAATTAAAAAGAAGTAATAGATATGTGTGTATATATGCATATGTGTATAAAAGAAATACATTATAACTCAAATTTATACCTCAGTAGGCAAATATGTTACATTGACTTTATAAGTCAATTATATTACAGAAATGTCTCAACATCGAATGTCTGATGTCATTGGTATACTTAGAGGAGCTAAGATAGTAGCCGATACTATGATTAAGTACCAAGAAGAAACAATTAAACATTTAATAAGGACTTCAAACTTGAAAATTACTGCAGAAAAATGTCTGACAAATAATTTGAAAACATTAAATAATATAGAACCAAATAAAATTCCTGTAAGTTCCAAAAATAAATAAAAATTATTAATATATTTTTTTAATATGACAATCATTTTTGTAATATAATAATTATAATCTAATTATAATCTAATTATAACATAAATTATAACATAATTATCTGATGTATCTAATAATTATAATTTAATTATAACATTATCTGGTGGTCATAAGATAAATTAATTTTACAAATGAATATTATAATTTTTTGTACAGTATAACATATGTATAGGTTCAAATAACAAAAGACATTAAAGAAGTGGCAGAACGAATAAATGTTGTTGAAAAGGGCATAATAGAATTTATAAAATTAAGAACTAAAGAAGTGACAGGAATATCACTTGATCCAAATAAGCCTGTAAAATCTATGAAATCTAAATTACATGTTTACAATCCTGCTAAAGATCCAAGAGAAGTAATAGTAGGGATGGATACTCCAAACACGAAATCTGATACTAAAAGCGATGTACAAGGTAAACAGGATAATCTTTCAAAAAAGTACTCAACTGTAAAAGAAAAAATTGAAACAATTTCCAAATTAGAACATGAAATACCTAAAATTGTACTTTCTGAGAAAGATAAAGCAATTTTGAAGAAATTGGAATTAGAACATGAAAAAAACATAAAAAGTCAGAACATACAACAAGATATATCAAATACCTTAAAAGCTGATTCTAAGATAGAAACCGAAGTAACAAAAAATGCAAAAATAGCGTCAGACAACCTTCAAACTAAACCAAAACTATCTGTTAGACCAAAACAAACTGTGAGCTTTTATATTTTGTTTAATATAAATTATATTATATAATGCATTTTATATAAATATATAACAAATAAATTTTTCTCTCAAAGCTTTCACCTAATGCAAAAGAACAAAAAGTTCCATCCACCAGATTACAAAGAATGATAAGCTTCGGAACATTAGGAGTTGGTCTTGGTGTTGGTACTTTTGCAGAATATACACGCAGAACATTTGGATTAAAAAAACAAAGTCTTGGAGACACATTTGATAGCTTGTTTCTTACTAAAGCAAATGCAGAAAGAATAGTTTCTACTTTATGTAAAGTAAGAGGTAAGTATCCTTTATCAATTAATAACCATGTAATAGGTACATTCATATATGTATTTATAATAGGTGCAGCTTTAAAAATTGGACAAATTTTAAGTATACAAGATGATACAATTATAAGTCCTGAATTACAAAAAGTATTTGAACGAGTTAGACAAAGTGCTGATTTCATGCCAACATGGCAGGTTGAGAAAGTATTAAGTACTGAACTTGGACACGATTGGAGAAATAAATTAACCACATTTGAAGATAGACCATTTGCTGCAGCTTCCATTGGTAATTACCATATTTTTTTCTTTTTTTTTAATCAAAGAAGCTTTATTTTAAAGAATATTCTTCATGCTAGAAAAAATATTGTAGGTCAGGTACATTATGGTACTTTGTTAAATGGACAAGGTGTTGCAATTAAAATCCAATATCCTGGTGTAGCCATGGGTATTCAAAGTGATGTTGAAAATTTAGTAGGCATAATGAAGGTATCAAAATATTTTGATTTTTATTTTATTGTTGATCCCCTGGAAATATATTTAGAAACTTTTACAGGTTTGGAATATTTTTCCAAAAGGGATGTTTATAGATAATGTAGTGGACGTTGCCAAACGTGAACTGGCATGGGAAGTGGATTATATCAGAGAAGCAGAATGTACAAGAAGATATAAACAGTTTATGAAATCTTATTCAGATTACTATGTGCCAGCTGTAATAGGTAAATTGATAAAATTTGTAATTGATAAATAAATAAAAAATTAACAACTAAATATAAAAATAATCTAATTTTATATTTAGATGAACTATCAACGAGTCAA